ACATTTGGTAATGCTTGTTCCACGGTTTTTTAACAGCGTTTACATAATATGACATGCCTTTAGCTTCAATTTCATTCTTTTCATCACCAAAAGTAACCCCTGAAAATACAATTTAATGTTTGTGGCAAAAGTTAAATTTTTACAATAAATTAGATAGGTATCCTTACTTGGACAAATATCTGGTGATACAACAATTATTCCATAATGTGATGCCCATCGTTGAAACCCTGCCTTTTGTATAAAAGTTTGTTCGGAACATGACATACCACTCAAATGATATAAGATTGGTGTTGGTCTTTCCAAATTGATAGCTGGTATGTACACAGAAAATCTCATTTGACAATTTAATACAGCACTAAAAATAATAAAAGCACATTACAATTTATAAAAATAGGAAACAAATAAATAATAAGATTGTTGAAAATATCTATTGATAAAAATAAATCTAAGTACCTAAGAACTAATACCTGGAGATTAGTAGAAGTAAAATAGAGGCAATTGTGTATCTATGGTATGAAAAGAAATGTAAAACATGCAATAAAGCAATTAAATCTGTGAAGTAAAAAAATTCAAGTAGGTTCTTAAGATAAACTTAAGTCCTTAAGATAAGGTTGTTAAGAAAAACGTCAAAAGTAGGAAAATGTAAATAATATATATATTAAAAGCATCAAGTATTTTGTTAACATTTTTTACCATTATAGGGTCATTTAGTTGATTTTAATGCTCAATTATTCAATATGCTATACGAATTTAGCCTATCCAAAATATTATTTAAAGATAAATAATTATGTTCTTGATATTTAATTTGTTTTCGTTTAATAGGTTTATCGGGTTTTTCTATACATATTGTCAATCATTCGATTAATTTCGATTCAATTATTATCTAATTTTTATTCTTACTTAAAATTTAATATAAATCTTAATTTATATTTTGGTATGTTTAGAATAAATTACACTCCCCCAAAAATATATACGTGTGAATATCATCGCCGCATCAAGCCAATTTTTCAAATTTTCTTTTTTTTTTTTTTTAATATAATAATAATTATTCCTTATTTATAAATTACCAAGTAGTATAAAAAAAAAAGACTACAGGACATTAAAAAAATTATTTTTGCAGTAATACGTCTTTTTATATGGCTTTTTTAATGGCATTGAAATCCCGGCCTTAGTTATAACTTTAGGTTGGGTTACTTGAGTTCTTATTAAATTTACTATTCATTGTTGTTTTTTTTTTTACATTTACACATTAATATTTTCAAAAAAATAAATAGATTAATAACAATGAGCTATTAATTCACAAACCCTTTCACACTGATCCGTAACTCGTAAGGTACCTATATCGATATTAACTTATGTTATTATTATAACTTATAAGCGAATAATAGCTAATTGTACACCTATTGTATCATTAATAAGGGAGTACCTAACAAAACAAATAATGCTATTCGTTTTATAAGGATATCTGAATAACCGGGGTGATGAGTCCCCTTCTATTTTTTTTCCAAATCAAGCACTGATTAACTCCTAACCTGGTGGCTGGTAACAATTTTAATCCTTGGATCTTGACCTTTCCACAGCTCCAACAAACAGAATACAACTAAGTCCTAACTAAAAAATCTCATAAAAAAAAAAAAAATGGCATTTTTCAATCTGTGGAACTTGGAAAATCTTGTTTTATTAATAAAATTTATGTTATTAATAGCCGGTTTATGATAAGATAAGCAAAAGTGGAACGTGAACATTTTCAAAATGGGTGAGTAGTGTTCGGATATAAAAAGGTCAATGAGATATATTAAGTTTATAATATACTATCGTTATAGTGTATGCCCCCACACCTCCCTTTGTTCATTTAGTATCATAGATCACAATATTATATTCATTTATTATTATAAATTAAGGTATTATATATTAAGGACTGGGTACATGTATGATGTGTAGTACAAAAATAAAAAAAAAAATTTAGTAAATCAATATCTTTCTAAATCTAATTGATCAATGATTGATAATTTTTGTTTGGAATAAACACTTAAAAAATGATTAGAGTTCACCACACAATATCCATGATACAACTTTTTAGAATGTTCACGAAAAATCTAAAACACAGTCATAGTAATTTAATAAGATATATTATAAAAATTAACAAGTAGTAACTACTATATTAAAATGATCCATTTATCATTTTTCTATTCATATAAAACCTTAACAGCAAGTTTACCTATTGACTGATTATTTACGCCTTTGAAAAAAACTGTTCAAAATTTACAAAAAGTACCTATTTTTTAACTCAAAATTTGTATTGAAATGTTAGGCCTGTTTTTTTTTTATCAATTAGGTATTGGAAATTTTTAATAATCCTTATTTCTTAAAATAGAATTAAAATCTTATAACAATTTTAAGTCAAATGCTTACTAGAATTTAATAATGATTATTCAAAAAAAAAAAACTAGGAGGATTTATCCCCATATCCCCTCCTCATAATTACGCCACTGATAGTAACAGAATATAATAAAAATTTTAATCGTGGTTGGTAATTGACACAGTTTTTAAAAGCGACAACTTCCCGCGCCGGCCTAATAGAATACGTTAAGGCATAACATTTCTAATACGACCGTTTTAGGCAAAACCGCAGCTGATTCAAAAATATATACTGCATTTATGGTTTCTATTTTTTAGTTTTTTCTACTATAACAAAACAATACAACCATAATACAACTATGTACATGCGTATAGTACCTACGCAGTGCACTTACAGGTTCCGCTAAAAGCACTCAGTAGTAAAATTTTTGTATAATTTAATGAATAAATTTGAAGCCATTTTTCTAAGCAATATGCAAAATACAAGCCACTTAAGACGGGTAACACTTCAATAGCTAAGAAAATAAACTAATTAATAGTAGCTATATTTTATAATACTTTATATTATTTTTCAAATCATATTTATTTTAACACGGCTATAGATAATATCTTTAATCATAATAATTTAAGCAATAACAGTAATAGAATCAGTCTAAAAGTTAGAAATAGGTAATATATTCTACGGTATACTTATTACAAAACCGTACCTGAAATTTAAAACAAATGTTCGTTCTAATAAATATTTAAGTATTTACCTAATTATTCTATATCCGTGGAGTGTTATTAATCGGTTACTTTTCTTTAAAATACAGTGATAAGTACGACGCACGTTCGATCAATTCACGATTTTGTTACCGGTACTGAGTTCTATTATTATGGCTATAAAAATTTCAAATGATTTTATTAAAACGCATAACAATATTACATTGTTTTTCAATACTTAATAATTACAAAGTTTTTCCCATTGCGCTACAACATACTATATAACGTACTATACTAATATCGACAAATTTAATTTTCCATAACTTTTAAACAGTAGGTAAAAAAAAAACAAATTTACAAATTGAAAAATAATTATATGTTTTCATCAACAACCGACCCATTTGGCCGCTTTAAAAATCAGATAGGAGCAAATGCTTGTCCTACCTTACCCCTTCAAATATTGCTACTGTATCTCAAGTGCCACCGACCTGTCATGTTCGTAAACCTTTTGCTGTCCGCCGAAACTTCGGTTATCCGACACCATATCTAACTGCTGCTTTGTGTTATTGGACCAATAACGTGACGTACAGAATCGTCGGAAATTCTGGTCCTGAAACAGTCGAGTGTGCCGCTGCTCGAACTTAACTGTATGGATTTGATGGTTTGAAAGACACGATGACGGGCAGACCGTAAACAGCCGATGTCCACGCCGAAACATAGAATTATAAAATAGTGGACCGCACATATCGTTTTAGAATTTTAATCAATGTCAACGTCGTGATTTTATTAGTTTTTTTTTAACTATTGTTGTCCACATAGATATATTGAAAACACTGGGTATGAAAAACATATTTTAATAATTTAATATTGGTTCATGATATTTTACCAATTCAATATTTTGTTATAATTTTTATTTGTGATATTGTCTGAAAAATGATAAGAAACCGACAATTGATAAGAGCTGTTATCAACTTATTAAAAAGATAACAACGAATGATAAGATTTTAAAGATCATTTTGCCCGCGATTTAGCCTTTAGTTGATAATTTATGTTTTGATTTTTACAATTTTAATTTCAAAAGTAAAATGGTTCTTATAATCTTATATGCTCTTTGAGAAACACTATATGACTAGACACTCCATGAATCCATTAGAGCTTCATTTTCGCAACGTTAGCAAAACACGAATTACATGCTTTAATCAATTTCAATTAAAACAAAAATTTTTGTTTATGAAAATCTGTAAATGTTTAATTATCATTAAATTTTCAGAAAAGATAAATATTACAACAAAATAATATTTTTTATTAATAAGTTCTTATAAAAAATTAAAAAAAAAAAGTTAATTACAGGAATGTGAATGTCGTCAGTAGGTAGATACTCAGTGAGTTTATTCTCCTGCATGATCTCTCTGTCAAATCTTCCATTTCCATTTCTAAACTTATTGTATAAAATATGTATAGATTGTTTAGTTTAACTATACAATGCATGGTTTTTTTTTTGATAAAAAATTGTTTTTAAGTAGTTCTAAACTTATATAACACGTTTCCAAATAATATCCTTCTGCTCATCTTAAAAAAAAAACAAATGTTCCTAAGATGAATTAAAGTAAGATAATGAAACATGCAAAATTACAGCATAAATACGTAGGTAAAAATATACGTGCCGTAGGCACTCGTCCGTGTAATGCTAAACGCATGTCGCATACTGTTGCGTACGATTGTACGAACAACAACCGTGGGTTTTTAATATTTTATAAACAAAATACTTAACTTATTTGTGAAACCTTGTGAATGATCTAAAATTTACATATGATATACCGCTGTATATCAACAATCCCAACACGGTTATATTTTTGTTTTTCTCTGTAGGCATATTTTACGGTCATAAATGATTGAAAAAACCCCAGAAGATTGACACATCCATAAATATCTACCGATAAATAGTTTAATTTGTTCAATCATATTCTGCCATCTACCGGTTTGAAAATAAACCATTCTATTTTTATTATTGTTTAGTGTGTATAGTATGTTCTAGAGAGCCTAGCTAGCTCTCTAGTATGTTCCAAAGTAAAAGTAAACTTTTAATATCTGATCACTTTTTTTAATTAATTATTTTTATCTTTATTAATAGTTATACTTAACTTTCTTAAAAAATATATATATTTCCTCAATCTCCAAGAAATCGAATAATACAGTTATTTATTCTAATGTTTTTCTAAAGAGTACACAGTAATAACCTGAATGCATCCTGTTTTTAATTTTAACTTTTTTCGCAGCCCAAGGAGTGCATCCGCAGTTATATCGACAAATCATATTGAATAGGCCGCGCACGTCTTCTAATTCGTTTCAAAAAAGTATAAATTTGGCAAAATGATCAAAACTACCATCAAGACCACATAGTATTCAAAATGTACACGAAATAATGGACTCGTTTGAAATTAAAACTTATGACAACGAACAACTTTTCATGGTAAATGACAATAATGTTTTCCTGTGAAAAAATATTAAGTAGATACATTATAAGTATACTTATTAAAATTATATATGTAGATGGTATTTTTAAGTACCAATATTGTACTAATTTTTTTTTACAATTATTTAAAATTTATGTTGTTCTCTTGAATATATATTTGCCGATTTTAAGTTATCTATTCATCTTAGTGCACATGGACGTCCCCTGACATTTTTCTAGGGGGAGGGCAAAATTAATTAAAAAATAAATGAAGATTTTTTTTTTTTATATATTTTATTTATAGTACATTGTTAAGTTTTGTCATTACCTACAATTAGGTATTATTATTATATATTTTATTTATAGAGCATTATTATGTTTCGTCATTATTACAATTAAGTAACAAATTTAAAATTCTAGGAGGAGGACAAGTACTCTGTCTTCCTTCCTAGGGACGCTCATGAATTTATTTATTATATTATTTATTTTATTTATGGCGGAGTGATAACAAATAAGAATGTTGGGGCGATAAATTTTGTACGGCGTATTGGCGGAACAATAAACAAGTACCCACATTTTTTAAAATACCGGCTCTGCATAATAAAGTTGTTTTCTTAATATTTTTGTTTTGATTTACCCCACTTATTTTGCTAAATGTTTACTTTTAACATGTACTAATTATATTCAATTTTCTTTCAGAAACGACCCTCAAAATAGATTGTTAATATAGTACCTAGTTGGCAAAACATAATATAATATATGATTTGATAAGAATTGTACTCTAATTTCAGTTTATGCTGCAGGTAAGCATAGCCTGAAATTAAAATCTGATTTTTGAAATTCTATATTTTGTGCTATTTTCAAATCAAGATTAACGATTTATAATATATTAAAAAAAAAAACTGTACATACAAATTCACTTTTTAACATTAAAGGCGAAAACATAAAAACAATTTAAATAAAATTATTACTATGAATTAAAATAATTTAAACCAAATTGATTATTTACCTGTTTCACAATATTGTAACCAGCTGTATTTACTATTTTATATGGTAAATTTTAACATACATTTAAAATTATCATCAATATATAGTAAAGTAATGTTGGTACCCTTATGGCATGAAGTTCGTGCTATTTAAATATGGTATATAAAGTTTACAACTATACACAATATATTATAACAGGTTAAAATATTTTATACAAAAATAAATTGAAAATTTTAACCAGGGACTAGTAAGTCCATGCCCTAAACAATGCCTCATTAAGCATGCACTTATGCACTATAGTCCGGCAAAATATGCCTTAAAATTTTTAGAAATATGTATTTATATGAACTAATAATCTAAGATTATCTACTTAAATTATGAAGATTAAAAAAAAAGACTGAAATAGTCGAAAATAAACCATTGTAAAGGTATCAAAAAGATAAAGCTATTTTTATATTATTGTTTTCCACTAACTGCTTAATGCAAGCATGATACATTGATTAACCGGATAAAATAATAACTAGGTAGGTACTGCATTTTATTTTTAATGATTTTATGGTCGCGACAATTCTCGTGTATTTTATACTGAGAAGAACATAATTTATTGCATTTTTCATTAAAATCTAGCCAAAAATACGCTAAATGTGCCAAATAAAATAGTAAAACGCATAAATATACTAAATATGCAAAAAACCTTTTAATATGAAAAGCAAAAATATATAAAATGAACTTCACATACATAAAACATAACTATGGTATCCGAAAATAGATTTCTATGTAATCTAACATTAATTACTAAGGAAGATTGATATGCAGATGCGTGAACATAGAATACACACAACCCATAGGAATGATTCTAAGAAAATAATTTAAAAAATTAATTTGTGACGCTAAACTTTATAGATATCTGTGATATGTAAATAAATTGTATAAATTAATGTATTAAAAACAGTTTGACGAGACATCCTGCATCACAGTCAACGGAATTTATAAAAATACTAGACAGCAGTCATTTCCAATTACTTATATTATTAAAAATTGATACTTTGAATATTTTTATGTTTAATCATTAAAAAATTTGATATCCTTAATAAAAAGTCTCTTTTGTAAACAGTAGTTTTATACTTTTATAGTCCGCTATAGAAAAGTGCATTAAAATCAAATAGGTACTATGAGTATAATTAAAGAGAATGTACATTTAAATGAATCATACGTAATGGATTTTACCGTTTTAAACTATAAGTAATTAATCAAAATGACAAAGACAATAATTTAATATTATTCCTTGCAAATGATTTATAGTAAAACTGTCATTTGTTTTATGATCATGCATTTTTAAATTATTTTCTTCTGTTAAATTATTTTAAATAAAAAGTACCTAAACAAATAATTGTTCAGTATTTTAAAGATTCTTTAAATTACACTAAAGACGCGAGGAAAAATTAGTCAAAAAACAATCATTAAAAACATTTAAAGGAACCGTTAATGACATATAGTATATGATAGCATTCAAATTTAACAGTATTATATTGCAATTATTGTTTATTATAAATTAAAATCCATTTGTCCATATAACTTTTAACTAAGCAATTAAAATAATTTTAGTAAGATTATATTGGTAACATTATATTATCTTAACACATCACCATTCATAATACAAATATAATACTACTTAAGAATATAACAAATTTAATAAATTACAAAGAGTCACACAAAAATTTAGAATGGTGATGAAAATGCTGTTCTATAAAACTTGAAATGAAATAAAATCCATGATCATATCTATCTTCTACGTTTATGGAAGCTGCAATCCCTGCTTTTTCACAAGCGCTTTTAAAATTTTCCAATCTTAATTGTTTTTTGAATTGATCATCATTTCCCTAACAAACAAAAAAAATAATAATAAATATATTAAATTTGTATATATTATTTATTACATTGTATGCTTTTGAAATCCATTAAAAACATATTTAAAACGCTATACGCACATGTGTTATCTCCATCTTACAAACATAAGATACAAGAGCAAATTTAAATTCAATAGAACCAATAATGTATTAATAGATTTAAAATTAGAGTGAATTGATGTATAATCAAAGTTTAAAGTAAGAACATTATCTGAGTTTAATTATTGACTTTTTTACAATATTTTAATTTTTAAGTTAGACATGAGCATATTAAATTGTAATATTTAAAATGCTCTTATATCTTGTTCAAAAATCAAAACATCAAAAAAGTTAATGCCTAAGCATATATAGGTAATGATCTTACTTTTAACTTTGATAATAGAATAATTTACTTATAAACTAAAGCTAACAACACAAAATAGGTTAATTAAACACAAATTTGCTATATTCCTAAAATGGAGATAACATATGCAGATATAGTGTCTTCTTGAGACATTTTTAACATAATATTTTATTTTATTTTATTTTACTTGATGTATAAGGATATTTAACTCTGGTCCTTTATAATTAGTTACTAAGCAGGTAGCATCCCATTCTTCAATTTCTTTTGAATCATCTCCAAAATAACACTTAAATATAAATTGTAAATCGAGAGTTTTAGATGGGTTACAAACTGGAGCAAAAGCTGATACTGAACGAAACTTGCCAGGATTTTTTAATGCACTTATTAATGCACCATGACCTCCCATACTGAAATATCATTATTTAATACAGTACAATATATATACAAATATTTAATAAAATATAAATCTTTAAATTTAAAATAGAACACCAATACCAATAACTGACAATAATCGGATGGTTTAAACTAAGAGTCTCCAAACTACGGGCCGCAGGCCTCATCCGGCCCTCGAACAAGTTTTCACCGACTCGCCAAATGACGGCAAATAATCTAAAAATATGTTTAGTCACCAAAATCGTTATTGCGAACACGTGTAATTATCAGCTGTATCAGCTGTACCATAATTTACAAGCTGTAATTTATAAATAATATGTATTCATAGTGTTCATACATTCTGACCCGCTAAAAGCTTGTTTTTATTTTATGCGGCTCTTGGATAAAAAAAGTTTGGAGACCCCTGGTTTAGACAATACAATAATAATAGTAAACATCTAATTTTCTTTTTTATTATAGTATATAACAATAATACATAAATAATTTATTTAATTCTTATGAATATACCTGTGACCCATGATTGACTGCCTATCTTTGTTGATATTAAAGTTCTCCTGAATAATACTTGGTAGCTCTTCATTCACATATG